AGGTTATTAATTTTTTATTAATTACTAATATTAGTAAATAATTAATTCATTATTATTGTGTATTAATTTTAAATAAATTAAATTAAATCAATAAAATTAATAAAAAAATTTAATTATTATTATTAAATAGTCAATAATTTTTTTAATAAAACTCGAAATTCTCGAAAAATCAAAATTATTACGTCTTTCATAATAATAATTATTATTATTTTTCATTGACAATTTTTTATATGCGCTTTTTTATTTAGTTCCTAATAATTTTTTCAAAAAATAAAATTTTTAAAAAAATTTTACTTCGCGCTAAATTGAAAAATCTGCTTTGGAGTACTCCAGTCGCTCGCAAGCAGAGTGCTCTGAAAAAGAATTTATTTTATGACGTCATTTGCCTTTCTGCCATGGAGCAGATCATTGGCAGATCACTGCTAATGACGTCACACATTGCTTCGTTCTGAAGCAAAGCAAAGTTGCCAATTGCTCTTGCTCAGAGTAAGGGCGCTCTCAGAGCAACATAACCGAATGTGCTATTAAATTTTTCGTCTGTTTCACTCACTTCCATTATGTTACCATGGCAACTGCAGCAGGCAGGCAGCCGAGAGGTCTGAATGTGGTGGCGCGTAGAAGCTTCCGTAGTACGGTCACACCTCGGTAGATAAGGCAGACCAACTTGTGACATAGCGTGACGTCACTTTTTAAAATTGTGGCTGGTTGGAACCGAGAGAGAGAGGTCTGATTCTTGTAACCCTCTCCTTCTCTTGCTAAACTGCGCAGGCGTAGTACAATACGTTCCAAAAGTTTACTGTTAACTGTGTTAAGGCCTAAGCAGAATAGATTCTTGAACGGGAACCAAGAAGACTAGAACCAGGAGGTGAAACTTCCACGCTTTACCGCAGTGAGTAGTGGCATGGTAAACGTGCACACGGTTAGTGTTCTAAAGACAGTAAATTACGTCAAGAAGAGAAAGAAGATTACGGTAATTTACCGGTAAATTACCGGATCGTTTTTTCTCTGAGAATTTATGAGAATTTTTACTTGTACTTTTATCCTTGTCTGACACGTGCGTTGTCATGACAACGTGTATGACGAGGATAAAAGTACAGACATATGTTCCTGACTGTACAATTATTATTATAATGAAAAATATCTTTGTTACAATATATAATATATATATATATTAATATATTAATATTGATATAATATTACATTATTATATTGAATCAGGTACATTTATATGCCTGCACTTTTATCCTTGTCTAACACACATGTTGCCATGACGACGCACGTGTTAGACAATGATAAAAGTGCAGGCATATATACCCGACTGTCATCTTGTCAGTAAGAACACAGAGAAAATTAGGGTGCAGTCCCATGGAGCAGATTAGCAGATTAGACGTTGACCAATAAAAAAACAGTCTCTAACGGAAATGCAAAAATTTGCCGCGAGAGATTAACTTTTGATTGGCTGAAATCTATTCTGCTAATCTGCTCTATGGGACTGCACCCTTACAGTCTATTATATTCAATGTTCAAATTATTCATTTAATAACATGTCGGTCGTTTATTTATAACTTACATACTATAAAAATACATATTTAAATTTAAAAAAGGCAATTATCAATCACTTAAATGAATATTCTCATATATTCTCATAAATTCTCTTTTTTTCGGTAATTTACCGCAATTTTCTTTCTTACCTTCTCAGGTTTCAATTTTACCGAGAATTTTAAAACACTACACACGGTGGGCGTGTCGTTTAAGTTCGTGCACTGCTAATAGAACGAATTTACGAATTCTGCGCATACTAACCTTGTAGGTTTTGAAGGGGAAATTTCGTAGCAACACGCGTAGTAATAGTAATCTTATGACGTGTCAAATTTTGACAATTCTTTTTCTTATTTTTGCCAAAGTTGTATAATTGTGTTTCCAAATTTCGGAATAAGTTTCTTTAAAATTCCAAATTCGAAAATTCAATTCACAAAGCTGAAGTACACAACGTTTACCAACGAAATTCTTTTTAAAGTTGTATATTGATTCAAAAATTGTACAAAAAATGTATGATGAGAAAAAAGATGCGCCAGGAAATTTCGTATAAGATAGTAATTTGAAAAACATTTATTTTTAAAAATTAATTTTTAAGGTACCAGGGGCCAACGAATACCTATTAAATATTAATTATAAAAACACAGGCCTCGAATCAACTTAAAGACACAAAAAAGTCGTTTTAGTCGATTTATATTCCAAAAAAAAGTGGATTTGTTTTATATTTTAACAAAAATATTTTACAGATTTTTAAATAAAATTTTTTTTTTTTTAATAATAATCCTTTTCGAAGGGTTAAAATTGAAATTTTTAGAAATAATTAAATTTCAAAGATATTGTTAATTTTCAAACAATTATTAAATTTTCCAGAACTGAAAATAATTTATCAAACAATTTTTGGAAAACATTTTTTAAATTTAATTGAATTTTCAAAGATTTAAAATTGAGATTTTTGATAATAATTTAATTGAAGTTCATTTTTGATTGAAAATTTGGATAATTAATTTAGAATAGAAATTTTAGAAAATAATTGAACTTTATTTCATTTTAAATTGAAAACTTGGTAAATAATTAAATTTTAATTGAAATTTTGGATAATAATTTAATTTAAGTTCATTTTTGATTGAAAATTTGGTTAATTAATTTTGAATAGAAATTTTAGAAAATAATTGAATTTTATTTCATTTTAAATTGAAAACTTGGTAAATAATTAAATTTTAAATTGAAAATTTTGGATAATTATTGGATTTTTAATTGATTTTGAATTAAAATTTTGGGTAATAATTGAATTTTAGTTTATTTTGAGTTGAAATTTTTGAAAAATAATTAAATTTTATTGTGATATTTTTTTTAAAAAATTATAAACAATTGTATAAACAATAATTTTGATATAATTGAATTTGTGATGTATTTCATTAAAATTATTAAAAATAATTAATGTAGTGAAGAATCATTTTAGTTTAAAATTTGTTAAATAATTTAATTGAAAAAGATATGATGAAGATCTACATTTTATACTAGAAAAATGTATTTTATTTACATTTTTTTTCATATGTAAAAAAAATGTCACATTTTATTAAAAGAAGTCGATAAAAGTCTTATTTTTGAAAAAAGTCAGAAAAAGTCGTATAATCCGAGGCTTGTAAACATATAATTTTCATTATTATCATTTAATATGTAATAATATTCTAATAAATTAAATTATTATTGATAATATTAATCTTTAATTTCTTTATAACAAACAATTAAACACTCAATTTGGCGCGCTTGCGCGCGTTTATTTTTGCTAGTTAAATATAATTAATTAAATATAATCGCATCAAAAAATTTATGGGTAAACCATTTGCCATAACCGCATAAACAGAAACTTAAAAACAGCGTCTGCTACATTTCAAATATCAGTGTCAAGAAAGTATGCGCAGAACACTGAAATTCGTCTGAATAGCAAAGCACGAACGATAAGCCACGCCTTCTAGTGGCTTGTTTTTCACGCCGCATCTTTACAACGGAGTTTCCCCTCCTGGTTCTAGTCTTCTTGACGGGAACGCAATCGTGAACGGAAACGTAAGAATGGGTGAGAGAAGAATAAAGATATTTGCTATCCTTCTCTTACACATTCTTACGTTCCCGAGTGATTTCAATTTAGTAGGTTATGTTTCTTTACGTCATTAGAATCACAGAAACTTCTTTCAGTCAGATTTTAATAATTCTCATTATTAGTGAAATAGTAATATTTATATTTACGTTTTTAATAAAGTGTAATTAAGTGTTAACGAAAAACGAAAGTCGCCTTTTTTATTTATGTATTTTACTTTCTCAATGTTTATCCTTATTTCAATTCCTTATTTCGATATCTTATTTCGATTTCTTATTTCGAGCGAATGCTTCCATGCTTTTTCTTAAGGTGCTTTTATACCTCAACTTTCGATCGGATGAACATTAAGGTGCTTTTATACCTCAAATTTCGATCGGATGAACATTATTTCTGGACCGTGAAAATGCGTGAAAAGTCATTTTCACGGCGGGTATTTTTGAATTGTTTTATACAAAAAATGTTTTTTTAAGAAATATAATATTAAATAATTGTTTTAATATGTAAGAACACTTTAAAATAGTGATAGAGAGATGATTTGATTAAAAAATTTAGCAAATTTTGCTTTAAAACGTTTTCTACTACAAGAATGTGTAAAATGACGATGTTTGTGAAATGGTTTGTACAGTGCTTCTTCCTTGTGAGTGTCTCTCATGGAGCATTTACACCTTTGGTAAAAAAAATTTTTTATTTTGATTTTCGGAAATGCAAAGATCTGATTGGTTGTCCATTATCAATCAGATTGTGAACAACCAATCAGGTTTGTGTATTTCGGAAAATTCAAAAATAAAAAATTTTTTTACCAAAGGTGTAAATGCTCCGTAAGAGTTTTGTTTATGTTATGTCGGTTCTTTTTAACTTGTAATAAATAATGAGTGCTGAAAATAAATCGGTAAGTTGAAATGTTTATCAAATAAATTTAAATTCAACTAATTGTTTCGAATAACTGAAAGAAACATGTACACATGTACACTGTACAAACCATTTCAAAAACATCGTCATTTTACACTTTCTTGTAGCAGAAACGTTTTAAAGCAAAATTTGCTAAATTTTTCAATCAAATCATCTTTCTATCACTATTTTAAAGTATTCTTACATATTAAAACAATTATTTAATTTTATATTTCTTAAAAAAAAACATTTTTTGTTTAAAACAATTCAAAAATACCCGCCGTGAAAATGACTTTTCACGCATTTTCACGGTCCAAAAGTAATGTTCATCTGATCGAAATTTGAGGTATAAAAGCACCTTTAGTTTTCGAGGCTAAAATGAATCGAGCATAAACTTGGTTTTGTGGTGGCGCATAGAAGCTTCCGTACCGTTCCCTAACGTATCCCGTTTCCGACTTGCGTACCCGACTCAGTTGTGCTTAGGCCTTTACTGTCAGTGAAAACACCTCAGGCGATTAATTGTAAAAAGAACTTGAGTCGCGCTTGTCATGCCATCATGAGATTCGTTTACATGAAAATATCTTACGTCATTTGCTGAGCTCACTTTATAAGATATAAATTTATATAAAGTATAATAGAAATTTAGATTACTGGTAATTTATAGTAAATGAAATGTAGTCAACAGTTTTCTTTATATTTAGGATATTTCCAATTTTCTTGACAAGTAAGAAACCAAGTGAACATTAAAAATGAGTTTCTTTAAAATATTTGGTGGAAAGAAAGAATCTGCAGCTCCAACAACCGCTGAAGCAATACAAAAGTTACGAGAAACAGAAGAAATGCTAATTAAAAAACAAGATTTTCTCGAAGGAAAGATTGACCTTGAAATTCAAACTGCCAGGAAACATGGCACAAAAAACAAACGAGGTATTTATATTTCTTACTGAAATTGTTGGTTAAGCAAATTAAAAAACAATCATTCCCCTTATTTTAAGTATTTTTTTTCACATAAAACAATAAAAAATTAGTCTTTCGAACCCTAACTTGTAACTTAAAATTCTACATTTCAAGATGTTTTACTGTAACGCAATTAAACGAAAAAATATTTATCGTTCTTGGAATTTTTGAATGAGAATTGCTCGAAAAATTCCAGGAGGAATTTAAATTGTCTTGATTGGTTTTAATCCTACTTTAATACGTATAGCTTTCTTTATATCGATTTAGAAAATTCACTAGAAATGCTACATTCTTTCATAAGGTTGATAATCCCTTATTGGGTATCCATGATTTGTTTAATTTTTAAACGCACTTTTAGTCAGTTTAAATTTATTTACAAATGTATTTTAATTATTTAATTAAATATTGAAAAGAAATTGGGACCTCTAGCCTGATAATTTTATTTTTGGTAAATCTTGAAAACTATTTAGAATAGTATTTTAAAAATCCTCACGTTAACATCTCATTTATTTGAATATTATACTTGAGGTTTTACTAATGGGTCAGTCCACTGATTTTTGTCGGTCAGTTGCAGTCATAGTTTTAAGTAATCTAGTTTAGAAATTATCTTTATTTAACTTGAACATTTTCAAAGTTCATTAATCATATTATCTTGTGAATTTTTTTAAAAAATTAATTAAATATTTAAGTAGAAGGTTCAGGACATTACAGTGGAACCTCGATTATCCGAACTAATCTAGGCAAGGCCGGGTTCGGATAATCGAAAATTCGGATAATAGAGATTTTAATTTTTTTTTATAATTAAAGTAAAAAAATGTACAGTTGAACTATATATTTAACTTAATACATATGTTTTTAAATATACATAAGTATATACATATATGTAAATATATATTAATTAATAATATAGTGCGATTCCAAGTGAGATTTTGACTTTTTCGGAGTAGGTTAACCGATTGCAATGAAACTGTAACCAACTGACGTGATTCGTGGACTAAATTGGCTATGTGAGAATGCTGCGTGCGCAATGTCGTCTGCACGTCAACTAGCGGAAATCTCAATTGTTTATACTAATAAATTAATAAAATTTCTTAAGAGCATTTGAACCTTCGTGACGTCACAAATCATGGCGCATGACACGCAAACTTCTCAGGTATGTGAAAAGCACAATTTTGAATATTTTTTAAAAAAACCTTTTGGAAAATGTTCAGAATAACATAGACTCTGTCTGTTATGTGCGGAAAATTCAAAATTTTGCGTTTAAAACGTTTTTTAAACAATGTTAAGGTCACAAATCATGGCGCATGACACGCAAACTTCTCAGGTATGTGAAAAACACAATTTTGAATATTTTTTAAAAAAACCTTTTGGAAAATGTTCAGAGAAACATAGACTATGTCTGTTATGTGCGAAAAATTCAAAATTTTGCGTATAAAACGTTTTTTAAACAATGTTTAAGTTGGTTGTCACAAGTAAGGAAAAATACATGAATTGCTTATATGTAGGCATTGTTTAAAAAACGTTTTAAACGCAAAATTTTGAATTTTCCGCACATAACAGACAGAGTCTGTGTTATTCTGAATATTTTCCAAAAGGTTTTTTTAAAAAATATTCAAAATTGTGCTTTTCACATACCTGAGAAGTTTGCGTGTCATGCGCCATGATTTGTGACGTCACGAAGGTTCAAATGCTCTTAAGTTAAACTTACATTTACAATAAAAATCCTTTGGAACATTAAAGAAAACACAGGTAAGATCATTTTATCGTTTAAGTGATTGAATTTTAGATAGTCGCGCGAAAGTTATTCAATTATTATTTAATAATTTTTTTAGTTGTAAAATTATAAAAAAATGTTCTGAAAGAGATTTATTCCTCTCATTTTCCTTGACATTTAAAAAAAAAGTAGACCTCAATCCGTTTATTAGAACGGAAGATATAGCAGTTTTAAATTTTTTGTTATTATTGCAAATCTCGTAAACTAACAAATATTTTAGGCTGAAATTTACGTTAAAGATTAGTCTTACTATATATAACAAAATTCCAAAGTTTCATTGCAATCGGTTAACCTACTCCGAAAAAGTCAAAATCTCACTTGGAATCGCACTATATTGAAAACTCAGAAAATTCGGAAATTTTTAAGATTTTTTTGGCATAAATTTGGTTATTTTGCTTTGAAAGATAGCATCTATTCGTTTTTTAGATGCCAAATCACGCATTCGTCTCAGAAATGAATGAATGATAAAATAAATAGAGAAAATAAAATTTAAAATTCGGGAGACCAAAAAATAGGTCGGATAATAGAAGTTCGGATAAAATGTTTTTCGGTTCGGATAATACAGAGTTCGAATAATAGAGGTTCCACTGTATTTTGTAACCTTAAATTTTCTCGTTTTTATAAAACATTGAAAATTTTTTTTAATTTCAGATATTGAGACTTATCAAAAATAAAAAGAACCCCGCACCGCATACATGGGAAATACTGGGGTCCTCTGAAATTTCTTGTAATTTTGTACCTTTTGACCTGAACAAAAATTGTTAATGTCAAAATTCAAAAAATGGACAGAGTTTAATCATTTTTAACGTTTTAATATTGTTTTTTTTAACATGCACCTTAATTAACAAAAAATCTGTCCATTTTTTTTAATTTTGCCATTAACACTTTTTGTTCAGAAGGTCAAAAGGTAAAAAATTACAAAGTTACAAGAAATTTTACCGGATAATCGTATTAATTGTAAACAATTTTTTTAACAATTTTAAATATTTTTCTCAATAATAAATCAAAATTAATAATCTTAATTTAATTAATATAATGATTGATTAATATTAATTAAATACCTAATTAGTCAATAATAATCAATTAACATATACATTAAATACATTTTTTCTCAACGGAATATTGTTCAGAGAAGTGCTAAAAGAATAAGTAGATACATTTTCATCGTAAAATTCAATTGCGAACATGGTTTTTACTCATTTTTATATTCTCATCATATGAGAAGGTATTGTGATTGGTCGAAAATTGACTTTTGCTAAATGCATGAAATCTTCATGTTTTGAGGTGCCCTAAGTCTGTGTGTCTATGCACAGACAAAGGTTGTAGACACAATAACTTGTAAAATTCAACAAATTAACTTGCACTTTGGTATACATAAAGTTATTGTTAAAATGAAGACTAAGTTTGTCAGTCAGCCATTTCCAACCAAAAATGAAAAAATGATAGCTTTTTCAAAAATTTTGAATTTCAATTTTTTCATAAAAAATTTTTTTCAACCTCATATTTTTATACTTTAATTAAAAACAAACATTTTTTCTCTTTTATATTTTGCAATTAAAAGTTATTTAAAATATATACACGGAGAGAAGAATCAAGTTGCGCTTGCTGGAGACTCTCAAGTAAATATACATGAGCTATAGCAAAGTTAGCGCTACCCGAGACCTAAGTAGTTTTAACTTGGGTCTGCAGTAGAATCCACATTGCCATATAATGTTAATTTAACCGAACAGGTGTCGCGTCAGTATTGCCTGTCATCACATGTTAATAAAAGGAAATTTTTTGTGTCAAAAATTAAATAGTTTTCATTCAGAAAACTAGATGGGGGCCATTCATTAATTACGTAAGGGTTCTTAGGGGGAGGGGGGGTTTATAAAATTTCTACATGGTCTTACGTCGGGGGATGGGGGGTTGAAGCTATTCTTACGTAAGATTTTACCAAGTATTTTCCATTTGTATTGTTTGTAATTAATTTTTTAATTACATTAATATTGTTAAAAACTTACGTAAGAAGGAGGAGGGGGGGTTCGAAAAATCTTATGTATTCTTACATGGGGGTAGGGGGGATCAAAATTAGCCAAAATCGTCCTTACGTAATTAATGAATGGTCCCATGAGCCTATAATTTGAAAAATAATAGCCGTTATTGATCAATCTTATAATCATAACTAATAACATTTTCAAAATTGATAAATAAAAATAATAATTAAATTTTCAAAATAATTTAGAGTAGCATCGACAGAAGTGGGTCACTAGCTATTTTTGTTTTCACAATTGACATATTTGACAACCTAATTTTTTATTATAATTATTGACAGGATCTGAGTTTTCAGTAGACATTCAAGTGTGCAAACGCACATTTGTGTTCTCCAATAATTCGTGATAAAAAATACATACTTTTTTCTTTTTTTTCCTTGAAACAGATATCGTTATTTGCATAAGTTATTCCAGAATTTAATCGGATAATTGGCCTTTTTTATACTAATAGACTTGGTAAAGTGTAGAAAGAAAGTGTAAGTGAAAAGTACACTTTTAAAGTGTAAAAAGATTTTATCATATTGTCGCGTGGTATTCTCGCCACGTTATTTCGCGTAAAATTATGCTTGTGGACAGAAGTGGGCCACTGCATTGACGTACTGTTTCGACATTTAGGTTTTTGTATAAACTAAGGAAGTATTTTTAAAAAAATTAATTTCAATGTTTTAGTGATTATGCAACTAAAAAAGATAAACGGAGTGGCTATGAGTCCATGAACTTCAATAAATTGCTTGGTGCTGTAAAACAACTAAAAATCAAGAAAATTTCGGAACGCGCTGCTTGTGATACTGACGGTATAAGCCGATAAAGTTTTCAACGGCCATTTATTGGAAAAATTAATCATTTAACATAACAATCATAATTCTTGATACTTTTACTTATTTTAGATGAAAAACTTGGGTGGCCCAATTCTGTCCACAAAATCGTGAAATCGCGAATTTCTCTTTTTTTACATAATGATGTAAAACAATATGTTAAAATTTTTAATTTTATGCTTGCAAAACGTTAAGTAATTCCTTTCTCTACAAATAAACGCAAAAAATTTTCCAAATTATAATTTTTTAAATATTCTATAGCCTAAAATCCAAAGTGTGGCCCACTTCTGTCGGTACTACCCTATTTTACGAAATAACTACCCTCCAAATTTATTATTTTTCCAATAA